AAGTAGTCAGACGAGTTAGTGGCTTTTATAACTCGAATAATTAGGTAATTTTGTAAGAAATTCGATTTTAGTGCAGGTAGATCAAGTAAGTTCTGTGGCCGGGTATAATAAGTTACACGAACTCGATATAATACGTTCAAGAAACCTGAAAGCATATATTTTACCGTTAATAAGGTATTGGATACATTTTATATCAAACTTATGATGTCTGTCAAACTAATGGGCTTAGACCTAATATACATATACTATTAGCAATGGGACTATAATCTTGTTTTTGACGAGGGATTTTTAATAAATAACCATCAAACCTCATTCTCACCGCCTCAAAGACGGAGACCAACTCCATACATTATGCACTCCGTTTACTTCTCATTAATCATTTTATTCTTATAAATTATTATATTAAAAATAAATATAAAATTTATTGAAAAGTTTTATCGTCAATTTTATCCAATATAATATAAGTGTAAGATCCGTATTACACTTTAAAATGTATATACTTTTTTTTTTTTTTTAGATGATCTAAGTCAAAACTTCATGCGTTCATAATTCGATTCGTGTAACAGATACTTTAATATTGATTTTTTTAATTTCTCCTGTTTTTTTATAGATCATATGTTAAAATTTATTGTCCATTTTGTATGTTTTAAATGCAAACTTATATGCTACATGAATTAATAGTTTAAATTTAGAAAATTCAAAATATTATACTAAGAAATTTTGTTCTTGTGAAATTTGCTTTAATAGGTTTTGGACATTCTTCATCAATACAGATTGTCAACTCTATTTATGATTTTTTTACCGTGGTACGTCACCTGGCTCAACTAAATAACAAAAAAAGTATAACTTTTAATTGTATATTTTTTTCCCATTTATAGAGTAGTTTTAGCATTATGTAGATAATTTTCAAAGTTATAATTTCATTAAAAAGCATTTGTTTTAGAGCATTTTTGATTATTTATAGCGTTTTTTCGATAGTTAGATATTAGGACATTTAAATCCGGGTCCTAAAAATGAGTATCGGTAATAATCTACACAAATCGAATAATTATTCAGATAATGCTGTCTCCTTTTTTTATTTGACACGGAACTCGACGTTAAGTCCGTGGTAGAATCATGATGTCCGATCGTTTCACTTTTTAAACGGTTAGTACAGTGCGCATATGTTTACTATAGGCAATAATGATAACGATTATTGACGTTTCCGGTATGCCTACCGGTATTAAAGTGTCGGCTACCAAATATTTGAACACGGCGTTCGAATTGGCAACTTTACGCGCGCTTTTGAATAGGAAACGAATTTGTTTGGCACGATCGATGTATTAGGCGCCGTCAACGTTACGGTGATGCGGAAAAAAAAATACTAAAACTAAACGACTCGTGTAGAAACGAAAAACATATCGACAATAACGAGGGTGGGGGCTCAATTCTATAGCATAGTAAAGTTATTCGACGGGTACGATATTATTACGCGGAAAAAAGCCGCAAACCAATTTTTTTTTTTTAATTTTAATATTTGTTCGTAAACACGAAAAACGCATAAAACTCGTATACTTACTTATGTATATACTCGCGGTGTACTACCATTCCGCGTGCGCGAGCGTAATATTTTTCTATATAATCGGGCGCGGAGTCTTTAGCCTTTCCCCCCTTTTTTTTAAAATTCGTTGTCGGGAATTATGTTTTTTAACTCTATAAAACTGATAGGGAGGGACATGATTTTAAATAAAACGAGTAACCGCGTGGAAAGAGAACGGAATTTATTCTTTTAATAAACTGCTTAACGTAATATTATATAATTTGGAGTTTGGTCGTTTTTATATATTATTTTTATAAAAAAATTTCATCCTATACCCACGAAACGGTCGGTTAATAGCACTTTATTAAAAACCGTTGTATTCAAATAATATACATAGGGTAATTTTTTTTTTTTTAACGCGAATAGAGATCAAAACTCCGAAAATTGTCCATAAAAAAATATATGTGATTTCTCCCCTGGATCAAAATAAGAAAAAAAATAATAAAAATTGGAAAATTAAAAATGATATATTTTTTAAAAACCTGGTTTTTGTGGGAGAGGAGAATTTAAAAAAAATTGTTTTAGGAAATCGAAAAAAAAAATTACATTAACCATAAAAAAAAAAAATCATTGACAATAGATTGGCTCTTTAACTTTATTTTTAATAACAATTGTATAGTTTCTATTTTTTCCAGGAAGTTTTATTTTCATAATTTTTCAGGAAAATTCCGTTGTTTCAGTTTTTTTTTTTTTTTTTGGAAATTGTAATACAATCTCGGACCGGCTGTAAGTTTTACTTCATTTCATCTATACTCCAAGTAATTTCGATTTGGCAGGTATATTATAATATTGAAAAAAAGATCATTGACCTCATTATAAATGATTCTACTATAAATTAAACGTATTAAAATGTTTATCCAGAATCTTCATAGATAATTGCTATAATCATTTTCCTTATAAATGTACACGTAAAAGAACAGACCTTTTTTATGTTCTACGATATTGAATTCTTTACAATTTTAGTTTTCACAGAATTATTCCCGATACTACCCCAGTATTTACAATTTCAGATAGCTACTTAATAAAATTCAAAACCTATTATTTTGAACATTTTAAAAGCCTCGATAGGTATTATTAGTATCATAAATCGTTTAATATAATTAGTTAAGTCAAATGAAATGAAAACTACACACAAGCGATGCTTTATAATACAGCTGATATAATAAATAATTAAAATAAATCACCCTATCAGGGGAGTTCTTGTGGAGGGGGTTATCGCCCCTTCCCCGAAAGAAGTGTTTTTACATTAGCATTTGGCATATTCATCGGTCCAGAAGTAGATAACATAATCAAAATATTATTTGGCATATTTTTTTTTTATCAATCATTAATACTAAATTTAACTTCTCCCTCCCCCCCCCCACTATAGCCAAAGTTTACAGACGCCCCTGTACGCTATATACGATTATTTACCACATATTATATAAATATAGTATTATTACCAATATCGGTTGAGTATACAAATGTACAGTTTAAATGTAAGCTGTAGATAAGTTTATAGTGTTATAATAAAAATAAAAGTTTAGGTTTTTGGTTTTTCTACGACAACAATATAATGACCATTTTTTAAAAATTCGATCATTTTATTTCAACAATTTGTCTTTGTCGTATTTTATTATTTTCTTTTGCAATATTATAATATAGCTTAAGGTACCTAAAAACTTTATCCCGATAATGTTTACTGAAAACTGGTAGAAAAAAAATGTATTATTTATTTTATTAGTTACGAAGCGCAAACGTGGATAGAATATTATGATGATGCGTATACAAAACGTGTGCACAGTAGTGTACACGCCAAAATGTAATCACTCATTATTATAATTATAGTTAAGTGATTAATAATGTAATGAAAACAACGAAAAAATCAAAAAATAAAATTAAAAAAATATCGCCGTCATCATTTTTAATTCGTCAAGTCGAAACGAGTTTAATACATCGTTTATCATAATTTTCTGTGGTTATTGATGAAAAAACCCTATTCAAAATAAGATACTGCGTAAAAAAAAAAACGATTAAATAAAAAAGTTATTTGTGTAGAAAGAAATATTTTTTTTTTTTTTTTTGACAAATCATGGAAGTGTGTTAAAATAAAAACGGCCAATATAAATTAAACGAATTGCAAGGAACGTTGGTTTACTGTCCTTTTCTAAAAAAAAGGCACAAACTTTATTTTGTTTTTTTTTTTTGCAAATCCAGAAATTCGTCTATACCAAACGAGTTTCCCGTTTTTCTCTATCAATTATTATGTTTACATAAGCTTCTTGAAAGAAGTGCAGACTCTTGCGTCCCTGCATTATTTGACCAGTTTACTTCGTTTTCGATGTTCTTCTCGACCGTGCGCCCTATTACCTTCTACATCATTCCTTCGAATTGTTGAGCTGTGTAACTTGTCACCATGTGTCGGCATATGCTCTATCACCTGCAGTTTTCCTTTTTTCTAATACATCTATCTACAGTGTCCATTTATCTTAATTTTCTTAAAAATTTAAAATAATGAAATCATTGTGTCCGTAATTTGAAAAAAAAAAAATCATATATTTCGTCTGTTTTTGATTTTTCCCTGTTATTATAAAAAATACTTTAGATATTAAAAACTGACTTTCTTTCTCAGTGGCTACGTATTAAAAGGAACAAAATCGATATTTCGTCATTTTTCGGTTGGAGTAATATTTCTGGTAGAAAACATAAGTTGAACATTTTAAAATAATGAAACCAGGACGCTACGTTGCCGTAAATATTAATCAATTTTAGTCTTTTGGTTTTACCCAATTATTAGAAAAACTACTTGGACATCGAAAATCGACTTCCTTTGTTAGTGGCAGAATATTATAAGAAACAAAATCGATATCTTATCATTTTTGGTTTGGAGCGATATGTCTGGTAGAAAACATCGTGTAACACAATAAAAACAATGAAAACGGTAACGCCGCGGCTCGCAGCGCACCGTAAATATTTGCCGTTTTACCTATACTTGAAAAGATATAATTTGCATTAATTATTTGAAACAATTGTATAATAGCTGTACAATATAGAATCATAATCGTGAAGTTTTATCGTTTATTAAATATTTCAATAAAAAGGAAAAATGTAACATATTTAGAAAAAAAAAAAAATCACAAATCGAATGGTTAAATCCCAACAATGTTGTGACATAGCTATTCGTCAACATCATCGTCACTCGAAATGCATATTATTATGGGCTCATCATATTCATATTCATATTGTGAACCTTGTGACGTGTGGATGCCATTATTGGCATATTACATTATTGGTGATGCGATACCTATGCCTAGGGCTATAATAATTTACCTATAAACGTAAACAAACATATTATTATCTAATTTCATTTTTACCTACGGTACAAAATATTCAACTGAATTTTCAGTAATTATACATTTGATGAAGTTACGATTTTTCTACATCATAAGTTTTTTTTTTTTTTTAAATATTGACCATTATTACGACGGTGATGACGACAGGCTGTAGGTGGTGAAGCCGGGCTGTAATAGAGCGGTGACGCCTGACTGTATGTCGGTGAAGCCAGGCTGTAGAATGATGAAGCCGGGCTGTAGAATGGTGACGCCAAGATATATGACGTATGAGTTGGACTAGATGGAGATACTACTAATCCTGCACATTTCAGAAAACACATTACAAATTTAAGGAAATAGTTTTATTACCTAACCATGAGTTTACTGTCTACATTTCATTTAAAAGAGGATTTAGTTACCTACTTTAGGTTAACTGTATAATTATTTGGTATTGAGAACCCGAACAGGTTTAATATCGACTGAAACTCTATGTTTTGAAATTAATAATTCAAAAATTACAATAATGTGATTTCAAATGTATACACTTGTGAAAATAGTCTTTAGTAATACTGCAATCCGTGTGTATAATGTCGAACATTGTAATAAAAAAATACGAAAACTTACGCTGTTGTTTTTGATCGCACTCCGGAGAATTTTCTTTGAATTTCTTTAAACACGCGTAGTCCATCGTTGATGACGACAGTCGTCTTTTTTTTACAATCAAACGGCTTTCGTCCACCGTTAACGGTTCAGCGACAGTAATATCGTTTTCAGTACTGATAGAAGACCTTTTTAAGATTGCTGTTGTGTCCATATTATATTATGATCAAAAATACGTAAAAAAAAAAAAAAAACACCGAAGAGTACTTGTGCAAAGAGAAGAACCACCGTTCCTAATGTATTCTGACATATTTTACATGTTTATTCAGTACGTAGACAAAATTTACCCTAATAACTACGTGATCTCATAAAAATAAACACAGCCTGTTTTTTTCGGCCTGTGACGGATGATACAATTTTTCGGCTGCATGAATATGAATATTTTTTCTAATTCTTTTTATCATAATATTATATTTGTACGTATACTGATGAATAAATTAAATTTGATTAATATATTTGAGCATAACTATGAATGTTATTGATTTTACTATGCTATGTTATAGTTTTTTATTTATTTTTTTCAAATCTCAATTCTTTACCTACTTAAAATAATATTCTTATGAATCAGAGATGTGACTGTATATGTATAATACATAATTTTGAAATTGACTTAATATTTTATACAGTCATAAAATCAACTCTTTTCAGCAGTTATAAAGGTGGTCCCCCTAGGGAATTTAGGTGAATTAGGTTAGGATAGGCAGGTTATCGGGTCCAATACCAGGTGGCGTCAGAAACAAGATTCTAGTTTTTGCATTTTTATTTTTCATATTTTCGTATTCAATATTGTTTCATAAACACAATTTAGCGGTTCTTGGTATGTTAGGAATAAACATCTCTAAAACTTACTTGTTTAAGTTGTACAGATGTTAAAAAGTGATGTTTAAATATGTTTTGTGAAAGATATTATTGCGGCCGAAATACAGTCGCAGGGATATTAAATGTACTTAAATGGAACACTGCAATTTGAGATAGTACATATTTCAAAATAACGTCTTAGCAACATTTCTAGGACAAATAATTGTATAGTGGGTTACGGTCCATTCGGAAACCAAGAAAGTTTGTTGTAATCGCAACATTTCTGACACGAGTTTCGATTAGGTGTTGGCTTTTTGGTGTTTATGTTCATACGCGTACACATATTGTATTCACTGTTTCCGACCTGTCCTGCAGGTGGTTTTAAACGGTATTCGTAGGTAAATATTATTATAATTATATTACAATTTTTCGTTTGGTTTTGATTTCAGGTAAAGCGGTACCATTCGTCGAGCTTACGGTCGCTCACGCTTCGGTGCTCACCATACTGGCCATCAGCTTCGAACGGTACTACGCCATTTGCGAACCGCTGCGGGCCGGATACGTGTGTACCAAGACCAGGGCCATGATCATCTGCCTGCTGGCCTGGGGACTAGCCGCCCTGTTTACTAGGTACTTATTTAAAATGATATTATTACGTCTATATAATAACACGGTATTCGACGTTTGTGCGTACGACAATGTTTACGCGCGTATAAACGAAAAATAATTAAAACATATATTAGGTATTTATTATATTGTTCGGGTTTATTCGGCCCCTAAGACCTTCGTCCCGACTCACAACCAATCCTCCATCAACTACTAATATCCCCATTACCAAAATCGTCCACCTCCTATAAAGCTTCCATGTCATTTGTTTTACCACGAGTAAACCTTTCCAAAGGTCTTTTCCCTATCGCGTTCTGTTTCAGCACTTTTAGTACCCGTACAATGGGTTATCCGTGAACGTCCAGCCCGCCGCGGTCTTATTATTATTTTTCTAAGACCACTTAAATATTCTACTCTGCGAATGTTATTCGTACTGAAAATGTATACACCGAGCAACACTCAACCGGATGTACGTTTTAATAGGTAGTAGTAGTAGTAGTAGTAGTAGTAGTAGTAGGTTTGTTTTACCGTTTCCAAAAACCGCGCGTGTAGTTAATATCAGAATCTCGGAGATATTTTTGATTTTGATTTTCTTTAAAATTATTCAAAAAGAAGTCGATTTTTTTTTTTTTAAGTATCCTAAAATGAGACTTTTATAACTATTTTTTGGGGGAATGTTTTTTTGGGCCATTGGCCCTTAATCCGGCACCGGGTCAATTAATAATATTACGATAACAATAATATTATATTATTATACGAATACGTCATTTTATAGTACGACTACATCATTGTCGCGAATAATGAATTGTTCATGCCATTCAAAATATTATAATAATATATATACGTTGTCACACGCATTACGTTCGGGTACGGCATGTCGGGATATACAGGGTGATTTTTATTTCATAAACTATTGAGCACAATATCTTCAAAAATGTCGAATAAATTGAATTTTAATTTTTTTTTTTTCTAGACATTAAATCACAGCTGTTATAATCGTTTAAATGTTCGATTCGATAATTGGTTTTTTTTTTTATACGTATATATGAGTTTGTTATTCGAAAACAGCATCTTAGCGATTCTTAACTTATTCAACATGTTCGTAAATAATCACCCTGTATAGTACCGACCGAGTGTAGGCGTCATCGTAATTTGCGATAACGTAAAAAAAAAAAAAAACCATCGAGTACGTGTTATGCCGGACCTCGCGCGCACGGGACGTGTACGAGATCGCCGAGATAGTCCGACTGATGTCGGTTTGCACGATTAACGGCGATCAGCCGGTGGGTGTACAGTTAGTGTGTACGGTAATTTATCGTTTATAACGTGTATATATATATATATATATATACACGATTGTTATTATAGGTATCTTCTTAACAAATACTGTACATGTGGTTTCGTTTCCTGCGGGCGACTGTCCGCGACGATGTAGTTGGACGCGGAATTGTGGCTCCGGTGACATTTTCACAGAAAAAAAAAAAAAACAAAAAAATCTGTCGCGTTTGAAATGGTATCTTATAATATTATAATCGTTGTAGTCGTCGAAAAACCGAGGCCAGACGAGAGAGAATAACGGTCCGAGACGGTACGATACGGGCGTATAATATGCACGCAGGGGTAGGGAGTTTGTAGGTACCGCGATATGAAATTAAGTCGAGAAGACGGCGGCGGGCGAGTAGTTCATTGTTAAGGGCGTATGCTCGATTATATATTGCGGAAATCGCGGAGCAGAGGTATTTTTCAAGAGGTTATTATCGACGTTCGCGTTACATGCCGGGGGTTTACGGATTATAATAATGAGTGTAATGCGGCCGGCGGATATGCGAGGGAAGACGCGAGAGAGTAACAACACGAACGAGTGACTGACCGTTCCGCTGCAAGCGCGTGATAAGGCCGAGAAGAAAAATAAAGGACGATTTGTTTCCGTCGTGATGGGCTGACGAAAAAGTTACAACATTTGATCGGAAAACCCGAAATGACGGCACTGCGCGCGTGATTTATTTATCGCGTACAATATTATGAGATCCGAAACCGCGCCACAGACTACCGGAAATTAATCTCTCGTTTCCTCCCCCCCCCCAGTCAGGGCCGATTCCGCACCAATAACAACGCGGCGTTTTACACGGGGAATCTCGTCAACGTCGTCGTCGACGCGCAAATGACTTGCAGAGGTTTTTTTATTTTATCGGTTTTCGTTTACGCCGCAACTGTTTTCCTTTCCGGGGGATTAATATAGCAACGGCCGCCGGGAATCGATCAAAAACGAACGGCCGACCGGACCGGCTGCGGGTTACGTATATTGTTACGATACTGTTGCCGTATTATTACTAGTATCAATGCTTATATAAAATCGTATAATGCGATCGTGTCCAGAACCGTACACAGAGACCGGGCCGCCACCGCCGTAACGGGCAAAATTCCAATCTGTAATGGACTGGACGTACCTAAAGGAATGATACGGTGTATTGTATAGTGCAATTAACGCCGCCGCAATAATATATCTGCCGTGGTCATGCCATAATATCGAACAGTTATCGAAGGCTGTGCAATACGCGCGTACGCTGTTACACGGCGGCGAAAGAACGAGGAAAACAAATTCCGAACATAATCACTTATTTTATTGTTACCATATTATTATATTTTATGGCCACGAGAAGAAAAAAATATCAAGACCCGCAGAAGCTATTATACGTACATAACGGGTCAAATATTCGATCCTTTATAGAAAAAAAAAGCGACCATTAGGAAGATACTTGCCAGAACCCGCCGGATGGATGTTATAAGAGAGACGAGGAAGCTTCGTGATAGCAGCAATATGCAATGGTACTTAACTGATCGACAAGCTGACCAAGAAAAAGATGTGTATATAAAGAATGCTATGTATATAAAGAAGAGTAAATTCCATTTTAGAAGAGTAAAATAATAAAAATTTTACAAAACCGAAGCCAGCGATGCTTATAACGGGCAAAAGTCAAAGAGGCAAAGAAAATTAACATTAGATAAGTACATATACCTGCAGATTGAACTTGTAGAATCAAACACTGAAGTAATAGGTGATGTTTATTCTAAATAATATATTAATATGTCAACAGTCTTAAAAAAAAGTATTAAAAAAATTAATTATGTTTACTGTAAAGGATTAACTTTACTATTTTTTTAATTATCATTCGAATTCTCAATGATTTTCATACGTAAATAATAATATTGTAATCTAATCTCTTGAATAAAAACGACGAGACTAGAAACTTATGAGATAAGATCAAAGAAAGATAAAGAAGTCCAGGAATTATTCGGAAAACCAAATATAGTTAGAGCTACAAAAATACCTAATAAAGACCAGAAGTAATTGAAGAAAGTTTGTATTGCCACAATGGGCTTCAATAGCCTACTCTAACGTTGGAGAAAAAGAAGAAACTTAGATTTTTATGTACTTGTGAGGAAAAGTACGATTTTATATAAATATATTGCTTTTATTATATATGCTTATCGAAATTAGTTACTTTATTTGTACGTTTTAAAAAACATGTTTTTTTTTGCTCGTCCTTTGGTGTTACGATGTATTTAAATTATCCGATAATACGCAGGTACTGTAGTTGGGATTTCTTTTTTATTCGTAAAGCAATGTAAATTCGTGTCGAAAGCAAATCATTTTCCGCAGGATTATTATGTAGACAAATCACTATTACAGAGTGATATACAATATTATATTAATTATGAGCTCAGATATATTGGCGTTTATTATGATTAGTGTTCGTATGAGTTGTATAACATTTGCATATTTATTTCGGTAGGTCCTAAATTCAGCTATATATTCGTTCCCTATAACCAAGAATTCGAAATCTAAGTTTTTCGCCGCATTTCTCGAAGTTTTGATGTTTTTTCGCTGCAACATATTATGCATATTTTAACATTTTTAGATTCTGAGCGTAACGAGAGAGCTATAGGTTTTAGTATGATGTTTATTTATTTGTTTTTTTTTTTTTTTTGTTCTAGTCTGTGGACACGTTTTTCTTAGTAAAATTGCTTCGATTTTAACGTGTGACAACTTTTCTGAAAGCTCAAGTTGTCTAGATTGTACTTTAAAAAGGTTATTTTTAAATAAAATCTGGGGGAATATTTCACAATTTCATTATTTTATGAAAACACGGACGACGTTTTATACCAGAAAAAATTGTTTAATCGAAAAATCACACGATACCTTTTTTGTTGCCTTTTTAATTTACTTTATTATGGCATCATTGTCAAAACTTTTGAGCCACTTTTGAGCTTTTAAGGAATTTTAATTTTTGGGAGTTTTCTCTATAATTCGGTTATAAATACACGTAGAGACTTGAAACTTGGTAATAATACTTATATTAAACTTATCTAAACGTGGTAAAAGTTCCAAAATCATCGGACGACTTTTTTTTCTTTTTTTTAATAAGCATTTTGAAATCAAATTTAAACGAAAATCCCAAAAATTATGTATTACCGAATTATGGTCGAAATTGTCTCTCTACAAGCAATGGTTTATCGTTCCTTACAGATATAAATGAAATAACCTAATGTATCCTACTTTTCCAGCTTCTCAACTTTAACAGTGATCGCTCCCATCCCTAGTATCAGCCCTTTTTAAAGCTACAGGTTACGAGGCTGGATTATGATATTATACATGTCTATAATACCTATAACATTGGTAGATGTACTGGAATAACGTAGTGATACTATAATATAATATAATAATATATCCAGTGGAAATTATATAAAATTCAACAGACTTTAAAGCGTACGCGGTAATATCGTAACAGACAAATCATAATATAAACGGGAATCTAAACTAAACATGCTTTTAGCTCGTATTTGGCTGTCAGTTGCAATAGCATCGTGCAGCATTCACTACACCGATTGAGAAATTATTGAGATAAACTATAACTTACTATATAAAATATTATGTTATATATAGAAATGATGTTTCAGCGGGGAGAAAAAAAATTGGTGATGATAATAATAAATCTAGGTCAGCGAGTAACAGGGACAGGGTCGTGTGTGTCTTTATAGTATCCTTTTAGTTATTTGATGTCGTCATCGAAACGACGCTACGCAGTCTGTGATGAAAATAAGTGTTATCCTCTATAAAACACCTTTAAATCGTTCGTGTGTAGAAAATAATAACGACGGCGTGATCTCAATGGTTATTACTACTACTACGGGTTTTACAGGATTCGAGGACCACACAAATCATTTTGTGTTACTGCTGCGATGATAATAATAATACTGAAACATAATATAGTTTGACATTTTATTGTTTCTGACGTTTAACCGGGCGGGTCTTTCGCCAAACGATTTCGGCGATTCATTATTATTATTATTATTGTTATTATTTTTTTTTTTTTTTTTTTTAAATTTTATCGATCGTTTGGAACCGTTTTGCTTGTTTTACGCGTGTACTTCGTCATTTTTAGGTGCCTATATTGTATTATTATGTCGTCGACATGTGTCACGATAGCGTCGTATATTCGTGTATAAGAACTCGGTCGTCAGATACATCCGGAATCGTCGTTGTCCGTTGATTTCTCGAAAAGAAAAAATAATAATAATAATAATAACTATACGACTTTGTTCAATTTCTCTCGTCCGGCGATGTCCTTGCCGTGATCATAATAGTTAAACCCAACGCTTTTGGACGGACGGAACAACGACGACGACGACAACGATGATGATGATTGCAATACATAATAGTAGTTATAGCGCAATATTGCAACAGACTTTCGTCGACGGAAATACGCTGTTTTTCTTTGGCATTTTTTTTCTTTCATATTGCGACGAACCGACGAGATTAAAATAATAAACGGACTTTGCGATTTGATGATGATGTGTTCGAGCTGCCGAAAGTACGGCGATAAATTTTGAATTAATTAAATATTATGGCCGTGCAGTGCGAATAAGAAAAAACGCAGTAAGGCAATAACGATCGGCTGGAACCTTTTCGGGAAGGGACCGATGAAAGGAAACTGGCCTAGGAAGCGATGCAGGGACAAAGTAAAAAGCGTCGTAGATGAACGTAACGAATCGAGAAGAATATACTCGAGGTGTAGAGCCCCCTGTTTGAGTAGGGGTTTTAGTAATAGTCGGAAAAGCATTTACTAAACCGTAGAAATAGAGCGGAAAATGAAGAAGCAATAATAAAATGATCGTAAAATATACGATTCCATATGTTGCCCAACCCGTTCATTTTTTTTTTTCTACTTGACTTTAACTTATCCTATTATAATTCCATACGATAATTAATGTAACATTGTCGACGTGTATAAAGCTGAGTTTCGGAAATTTAATAGTTCTTAAATCAGTTTTAAATCCTGAGCTTAACAAGGAATGTATTTGTTAAGCTATGATGTGTGTATTTTTTTTATTTTTTTTGTATCTGTAAACCAGAAATCTTATTCTAATCGAAAAATCACAAGAAACTGTTTTAGTTAGTGAGTAAATGATCCGCTTTTTTTTTATTTTCCAACCTGTTTTCATAATACTTGGGAAAAACCAAAAAAAGTTCAAAATACCGAAAATTTACTGCATTAATGGTAATAAAAAATTGAGCGTAATGTAGTATACCTATTTTTTTTTTTTTAATTTTGACGAAAATTGTTAAATCATGATATTAAAAAATTTAATTTTTCTGAGAATCTTTTTTCGTTAGTAATAATGTATGGTTGCATACATGTACAAAATTAAATTACTCGCGATCTTAATATCTTATACTTCTTTAATTTTTTTTTTTTGAATTAAATCAATTTTAATGGGAGAGATTATTTAAAATGTGTTATTATCAGACATAGAAATGTTAAGAAACATAACTTATTTGATTATTATTTATTATTTAAAATGTATTGTAACTATCTAAGAAGTTAAAAAAAAAAAAAAAAAAATGTACAATCAGTAGCCTTAGATATTTACTAGGAATTTTTGTCATAATTTAAAAAAAAAATAATAAATTATTATTAGTCTTAAAAGCGATTTTTAAATTATTTGTATTATTGTTCATAATTTTACAATATTCCATACTACAATAGTTAAAAACATTATTTGGTAAGTTGTATATTATTTTTTCTTTAATGCGTTTATGAATTTTTTTAATAGTATTTAAATTGAAATTATTTCATGGGCTATATATTAGATAATATTGAGCTCTTGTTGATAGTTATGTTTATTTAATGAAATAAGTTCAAGACTATAGAATAGAAGAAATTAGAATTAGAATAGAATTAGAAGAAAAAAATAACATTATCTTTTGAGAATAAGGATGATTAGAATCATATGATACTACATCACTAAGTTATACGATAATAATACAGGTACAAGTCACACGGTAATTAATCATATTTCGTTTTGACGCTTTTCATAATTTTCAATTAAATCAAGTGGATGGAACGTGGGATAATGAGTCATTCAGAGATGTAGTAATAATTATTATGCCTACCAAAAAAGTACATTGTGATTGTTAGTAGTTTAAAAAAAAAAAAAAACTAAAAACTTTTATTCATTAGCGGTGTGAATATTAATTTTATAATTCTGTGGCAGAATAAAGTATTATAAACGAATTAAAAATGTAAAAATTAGAAGAGACATTTGAATTCGACCATTATATGAAAAATACGAATAAGTCGTTTAGGAACAAAAACCTGCCCGTAGTATTCGATTTCGAGATTGGATCGATGCCAAATTATACGACCATTATACAGGGTTGTTATATTAATACATCGTTTTGGAATGTACACCAGACCACGAAAGAATTTTTTTGGGAGATTTAAATTATTCGGATATTCTTTGACGGCTGTGGTATAAAACATCTTACAATAACGTCAAAACTATGTGGTTTAAGTGTATAGTGATCGCTACATTCGACATGGGTGTTGGCGGTGGTGGACGATGGTGACGGCGGAAGTGTTTCTTAGATACCGCGGATGTATTTTATGTATTATAAATATTAAGTTGTTTGCAAAAAGTTGATAATATGGTAATATCTCTCGATTTGATTCTTTACGA